CTTGAGAACATAGAAATTGAACATACATTCAGCATATGGATAATTTTTTTAATAAACGTCGACGTTGATGAGAACGTGAATGAAATGGTGATGCTAATTATAAACGTTACATAATCTCTAATAGGCTCGCCACATAACCGATGAATTTGTTTCTGTAAGGAAGAAAATGGTGGTAGCGTATTTTGCATATAAACGTTCAATGCTAATTCATTCAGGCCGAAGGATTGTCGTGATGTCGTGTTAATGCAGGAAATAAGCAATTAGTGCGAAGAATTGTCAGTGTAAGAAATTTTATAAGAGTTATAGTCCGGAAAGTTAGGGAAAAGTTAGGGAAATTGAGAACTCGTTTGGGAGGATCACAGGATCACTGCAGATTAACTGTTTCTATTACTATTTTCCCATTTTCTTCTTCTTTTTCACTTGATAGTTCCTTTCCAAATACTCAAACTGAACAAAATAAATCTAATTGTAGCTTGCAAACATTAAGATCCTTCTGGACAGTTGATCTAATATAAGAGGTCAGGGAAAATGGGGATGCTTTATGGTTAAAAGATACAGGAATAAATCAGGAAAATGAATTGCCGTGTAGTTCAGGAGGCATCGTGTCAATAGTGTTATAGTTGTAATTATTATACATTTACTAGTGGTGCTGAAAATAAAATAACTTTATTAATATTAATATCTGTTACATACAATAACCGAAGAAAACTCATCTCAGTCTGTTATGTCCGGGTCCATGTTTCAGGTTTGATCGTTTCACACAACAGCAAATATCTCTAATAAAACTCTTCATCACGTTTAATGGGTATAATATTTTTCAGAAATGTTTACTTCATAGGTAATTTTGTAATTTATTTATCTGTTTATTAGAAAGTGTTACGTAAGTATGCAGGTACTATCTGTATGTGAATTACGTATATTCTAAAATCTTTTTCATCTCGAGAACCCTTTATTGTTGCTAGCATGATTCTGAATATAAGCTATCCATCTTGGAGACGATTTTAACATAAACTGTTTAAAATATGCTAGCCTTCGTTAATTGTAATAGTCATTGTGTATTACTATATGACAGCACCACAGCAGTGCGGAAGCGATTGCCGACTATGACGTACGACCACGGACGACGACGCTTGTCCGTCGCGGAGACCACGTCTCGCGTATCGACACCCGACTGTAGGAAAATTTACCCCAACTAATTCTATATAAAACATTTTTTATATGACATATTTAATTAACTACTAATATTTTAAGGATAAATATACAGTAACGGACAAAAGTATATACACAAATTAATATTGTGCTGTATTTCTTTTTTAACTTGTTCTTTTAATACACCAACTTGTATACATAATTCGTTATAGCATAATACTCACTTATACATAAATAAATTCATAAGACTCCCTTCAATGAAAAATTAATTGAAAAAAACTGGGACTATGAAGGACCAAAATATATAGACAAGGCAAAACAATTATAGAAAAAAGAAGCAAAGTGCATTGAATTATAGAAAACCAACCATGTTTGTGTTAATATTTTGTAGCATAACCATTATTATCAATCACCGCCTGGCATCGTCTCGGCATAGATTGTAGAAGTTTCTTGATATAAGATTCATCAATCTGTCTCCACTTTTGCTCTAAAGCGGCAAAAAGTTCATCCTTGTTTGAATAATTTTTATCTAGTATTTGCTTATCTTAGTATTCCCATAGATTTTCAATGGGATTTATATCGGGAGACTGGGAAGGCCATTTGAGAACTGGTATTTTTTCATCCAGAAAGAATTTCTTTGTGAGATTTGAAGTGCGCTTCGGGTCATTATCTTGCTGGAAGATTGATCTTAAGGGCATATTGTTTTCCATATAGGGTAACATGACATGCTTTAGTATGTCTGTGTATACAAATTTATCTATAATGCCATCTATTCTATGTAAAGGTCCCGTCCCAAACCCCGAAAAGCACCCCCAAACCATAACAGACCCGCCTCCATGTTTGACAGTGGGCAAAGTGTACAGGTACTTGCGGTTCAATCTTTGTCCACTAGGATGTCTGACGTAATGAACACCATCTGATCCAAACATACTGAACTTGGATTCGTCACTGAAACATACCCTCTTCCAGTCACAGATGCTCCAATCAAGATCCAACCGTGCAAATTGTAATCGGTCCTTACGTTTTTTCCTCGAGATTAGCGGCTTCTTACTCGGGCGACGTGCAAATAACTTCAAATCATTTAATCTTCTACTTATAGTTTTCGTAGAAACACTGACAATTCCTTTTGCCTCGATTTCGGCTTTTATTTGTCTTGGGTTTTTAAACGGATCTTTGGACGAAATTACTTTTATTAATCTAACTGATCTAGCATTTAGTTTTCTAGGCCGACCACTTCTCTTAGAGGCTTCCAAGATACCTTTTTGTTTATATTTGTTCAATATTGCCCAAACTGCTTTACGCTTCAGCTTCAAATTTTTGGCAATTTCGACTTGACGTTGCCCATCTTTGTATGACTCAATGATCTTAGTTTTCACATCGAAAGAAATTTCTGGACCACGCGGCATGGTCTTAAAATCACTCAACTTATGCCACAATACTTAATGAACACAAACTAAGTAATCCTCTTCTGACACGAAACTGTACTAAACTAATGTTGAAAAGAATTTGTCTACAAATTTTTGTCCCTCATAAAAAAGTGCTTATATTCAGACTTGTGTAAGATAACGTAAAAACAAGGAATTTTTAGTTTTTCTACTAATAACGCATTTCTTTATGGAGTAATGAAGTATGAATTCGTTTTCTAAAGGAATTTGGGTAAATATTCATATTGGTCTATATACTTTTGTCCATTACTGTATATTCTATGATGACTGTAATATACCTAATATGTGCGTAGAATTACTGGGGTTGGAGGCGTATCAATATATCAACGTCATAAAATTGAGAATATCCCCCCCAAACCTCTGCGACACCTAACCCCTTGAAACATTTTTCCCAAAAAGGATCAGGATTCTCTGAAACGTGAAAAAACGAAGTATGAGCGATTTTTACATATATTTAGTTTTGGCCTTTTTCTCCGCTGCCACTGGACCAATTTTCAATAACTACAATGCTTTTGTGTCCTTGGTATAGTAGCAACATTGTGTAAAAATTTCATCGGAATCCGAACCGCATTTTTCTAGTTATAGGCGGTTATAGGGACCTCGGTTGGCCGCGTGGGTCAGAGTGTCGTGCTACTGATCAGCCGGCCGGCCGGGACGCGAGTTCGAATCTCGCCTTCGGAAATCACATTTCGAAGCCATGGATATTGTGACGTCGTGTGTTTGTCCATAGTTAGAGATATACAAGATTGGATCTGGCTAATGGGACCCAATGTCCTAGTGCCAAAAAAAAAAAAAAAATAGGCGGTTATAAGATTAGCAGATAGACCGACAGACAGGCAGGCGTGGGAAGTAAAACGTATTTGTGTATACTATGAAGGAGCTAGGAAACCTCCCCTTTACAGATAGACTTCTCCTCTGCCATGGTTATGGTGTTGAAGTACCCCCGCCCAAAAGAAAATGCAATATAATGTTGTGCGTATATGTACGTCAATATCTATGGCGCGATCACAATTGTTTTATTCGGCAGTTCCTAACTGCTATGCCATAACGCGCCGTATTAGGCATACTTTCTAACTCGACATATATATTTTTCCGGTGTCGAGGCTGTACGTTGACGAAGTCGACGTTTTTCTGTGTCTAGTCGCGTACCTCACAGTTACCGAACACTTTTAAATTATTTACTTGCAGCAACTTATACCCCAAGAATCAAAGACCCAGCAGAAATAACTATTGAGTATTTTTTTTATCGAGTACGAGTATGTTGTAGATTGTAGACCAAGTGTTCATAAGGCCAAAGTCCTTACACGGTTAGTTTTGGATAACTAGAGCTTACAAGTTAGACTCTACACTTTATTTTGATGTGTGTGGGTATGCTCAACGGCTTGTCTTAGCTATTTAGTGTTTGTTCAAGCTATTGAGCTATAATCATCTTGTACATGCGAGTTGTCGAATATTAACACTTGATTACATTTATTGTCTGAACAGATAGAATATTACTCGTACACAAAAGTTTCAAGAAATACCATCTATAGAATACTGTTTATGAGGGCGAAAATATCGAGATTCATACAGTGTTCCCTGTTGTTCCACAATATATCGCTGTATTTCTTAGATAAATGGTCCCATTTTCATTCATATCTTGCCCGCGTTTGGGGTAACGACGGCGTTTCAAATTACAAAATAGTCATTGAATTTTAAAATCTCCCTACACTAACGTTGATGAACTGTCTCTATCTCCTCTACGGAGGCTACGATTGGATTTTATATTAATTTAATGAATCTCAAAAATCAGTCCTTTAAAATACCCTTGTACATATTGATCTAACTGCCAACGCGATACATTCATTTCCTAGTTCCTGCTGATGGTTATATAACAGCAAGTTATGTGTACTATGAGAAGGAATTTTTGCACATCCAACGTGGTTTTATTGTTAGAGATTATAGTCAGTGTTGCCAAATCTCATCTAGTCATCAAACTTTGGAACTAACCTCCGTTAAAATTGCTTACTAAACATCCGAATTCAAATTCGTTTTGTCAACTCCAAATCTTTCAAACAAACCAAACCAAATCTTTCGAACAAAATCTGGAGTAAATTTACATTATTTAATCATTAGAAAATATTGACTGTGTATTATAGGTTTCGTCTTTTTCACTAGTGACCATCTTTAATGAAGAACGCGCTTCTAGAACGTACGGTTTACCTCTCCAAAAAATTGGGACAAATTGTCAGAATGAGAATTGTATGGACACAGGATCAGTTTTCCCAAACCACTTCTGAAAAGCGTTCAAGTTATTTTCATCTCATCTATCTCTAATATTCTCCATAGCACCAAAGAATATTTTTTGTGATATATTTTTTTATATTATGCGTGGAGATGTATGTTTTGAATCCCGTTTTATGATTTTTATAAACGTTGGCAACATAGTCGATGCTCCCATATTTGAGGCATGCCAGCGCTGTAATGTAATTTCTTTTTCTCTCGTTTATAATACAATAGAATTGCTAGTGTAGTACATACCTTCTAGTCAGTATGTACGAGTATGTATTCAAGGTGAAACTTACATTATTGGGACAACGTCATTGATACAGCATGGTCCTCCTAGCATAACACATTTTCATAGACACACAAACTGAAAAAATTGGTATTTGACAGTTGTCTGAAATTTTTAATGATTAAGGGTGATTCTACAAAAAATTGGTAACTCAATTAGTCTAATCATATTAGCAAATTTCCCCGAAATAATTGTAAAGTCTGGTTTTATTGGTGCAAGTTGTTCAAGGGTGTATTCAAAACATGGGCGCATAAAATGGGTACACCAATTTTTGTGGGAAAACTTTTTATTTGGCAACGAATAATGAGAAAGCGTGTTTTTTGGAATTCAATCGAAAGTGTTGACAGCAACGAAACTTTTCATACATACAATTTTTAGGTATTTATGAGATCTACAAAAAGATCCGGCTAATAGCAAAAATGTTATGGCCGAACAAAGAGGAAAAAAGGAAGGTTTTCGCACTTGTTGGTAATGCGACGATAATCTCACACAACTACTTGAAATTCTTCAAATCCGCAGGATTCATACTTCTAACTAACAACAACAAAATTGGAGTATATTGTTCAAGTAGTTTTTTGAGAATTTCTAATTTTTTACCCCAAAACACCTGTTTTCCGACCATCACTACTACTACTAAAACAAAAAGTCATAAAGAAAAAAGAAACAGGTCAAACAAACTGTAACTGGAAGTGTAATAGACCAATACAAACTGTAGAGAATACAAAACAGAGCAGTGACTTACAAAAAAACTGGACATAAGCTTAAAAAAATAATTAAAGTGCAACGTTTGGTTTTGGCAATTTTAATAAGCCGATGCTAACAGTCGTCTAGCAGCTGGAAATAAGGAATGAGTGTCTTATAATATGACTATGAAAAATCTTTGTGGAAAGTTTTTGAATACTGTTCCATTTGTGACCAGATTATTATTCCCTATTCACTTATTGTTAATAGTTACTATAACTGTAAGACGTGCAGTTATTAAATTCGTAGACATTTGTTCAAAGTTTTAATAAATTCCATATGTTTTCTATGAAACTGCGTATTTTGTCAGTCCTATGTTACTTTGGTCAGTACCCTGGCGGTCAATTTCAGAAAAATCGAAATATCTCAAAATCTACTCATAAAAGTGACTGGTCCTATTTAGAACAATATATTCATTAGATTATCGGTCTTAAATACCCGAATTTGTAGACATTTGACTTGAAAACTATAGTAAACAAAATATGTCTAAAAGTTACCCATTTTTTTTTGTATATTCACTCTTAAAGTCTCTTTTATTTGTAATAACATTACAGGAGGCGAGATTTACATATTGCATCTATTCTACCACCTAACCCCTTTAACAATACGAGGATGTATAAAACCTGAAAATTTGTAAAAAATTGATATATGTAGACAATAACGACCATAATGAAGTATAATTAATTTAAATCCATGCAGAAAACAAAAGATCATTTAACATTTATTTATTACATAAGATTTAGCTGCTGATCAAGTAGAATTTCTTTCAGATTTTCCTTGAATTTCGTTTCTTTTAAACTACTGTCTAAGAAATTATATAATTTGATCGCATTGTAAATAAAATGGTGTGGCGCGGGAAAAAGTATCTCTATATCCAATATTAATGGAATTCATATTTCCTCTAAGTATGAATTTGATTACTAAATATCGCGATGTTTTTGATTCATACTTAAGAGCTGGTATTCATACATTTTATCAATTTTCATCCAGCTGAGATCATTAGTCACCTTCTATGTAAGATATTTTCTGGGATCATTTACTAGCCTGCAACATGTATTCATAATGCTTTGAATACGATTTTTTCTTACAATATCTAAATAGGGATAGTAGACCACTAAGCAATACGATATTTTTGAAAATAAAGATTCACACAACTGCTTTCTCGCAGATTTAGGTAATATAGCCTAATTTGAAAATAAAACTCCGAGAATAGTTGAGCAATGGAAAATTAGGTGGCTTACGTGTTCCCCAAAGCTAAAATAAGCATCCATTATAATGCCTAAGCCCTTAGAATGATCCACAGGAATTATTTTATTACCTTCTAAATTTATGTTTTTCTTTTGTTAAAGCATTCCTGTTTTATTTTATTTGAGTATACTAACATATTTGTCGGCAACAAATTGTATGCTGCATGATTTTACCTCTGTTTCTAAATCTGAGAGTACAAGTTGATTTAGACGAACTTTATGAAACCGATTTTAATCAGTGAAGGAATCACCCCAAGAAGGTTTTCCAGTTTTATCCTTTATCCGATCAAGAATAACAATGGGTTTAGAATAATACAGAAGTCGACTGGAAATATTTATTTGGAAATGATCATACTGATGACCCAAATAACGTAACAGTTCATTATATACATTTCAGTCATCCTTCTGGCCTGTCTTTTGATCATCTCTCTTCGGAACCATCGTTCTTTTTCTTCAATCGAAACTGATGCATTTGGTACCTGAGCAGCTGTATGAATTGCGTAAGGAATACAAAAGCGTTAACACTGAGCAACATAAGGTTCTTCGGTATAATGACCATCGAGTATCTGCACCAAATAAGGCCAGTGATTACGAGGGACAACGCTTGACCGGGACTGATGGTACTTGGGTGTCGAGATAAATCTGCTATACCAGCCAGTACTAAGCCCCACTTGGTCAGTGGAGCCCAAAAGAAGACCGTCTGGGGACCTATAAAGTACGATAAATTCAATACTTGATAAAGAGTCCGAAATCTTTGGCTGGTGGTACACGTCTGGATATGCGTTTATAACAGTCATAATTATAATTTATATTTTAAAAAGGATCTAAGGACCCGGCGACGCGTTTGGGTTTCGGATATTTTCGCTGAATTTTTGTGTTATGTGTCTTGGCGTTCTTAAAAATGTTTGTCATGTTTTTTACATTTCATAGACTTTTGTGACATAGCGTAGGTTTTTCTACAAGTTGTCAACTTAGCACTTACTAGCTATTGTACATTGGTTGTGAACTCGTTTTGTAGCTGTACGTGTTGCCTAAACGGCATGATGTTTCAGCTGTCAATGTTTGGCTCTGATGTGATGTAACATCTGTTTCAGAGATGACATTATTGAAGGTCTAACCTGTAAGTTGTATACTATAGCTGGAAGGAAACGGCAGTGCATAGGTGCATAATGAATTCTCACTATGCACCTATATGTGCTAATAAAATTTGTATTGATGATAATTCCATTGGTTTATTGTCTCACATACACTTACTTGACCTGTATTCAAAGCTAGACATTCATTGCGCATCCACTGTTTCTTATTCATTCTGGAAATTACATATGCAGATTTGCTGAATTTCAAAAGACATAAGAAAATAAAATCCCTGGTTGGTGAAGTAATTAACTTTATACTGAATCTTATATTTTATGCTTTCATACTGCCTATTGCAATTATATCACTGTACACTGTCGAATTTCAAGTCATATACATATTAACAGTAACTACACACAACGCGGGCGCGGTGGTGATGGTTTCCCGTAATTCTCCTCAAAGCTTTTGAAAACACAAAAAAAGAACGAGAAAAATCGTCTTCAGAAAGGGCAACATATAAATAATCTGCCGGACACACCTCTTTGGCAGCATGTTCAGTAATCATTTTTTCACATGGCAAATACCACTGATTTTATACACTTGCAGATGCGATCTTACTACCCAACCAACATTCCTTCGTTTACATCTTCTCAGAAATAAACATTGCTTGGCTTTCTGCAACCAACAATGCATGCTTGAGCGTGTCGTATCGTTGAGTAATTCCTCCATAGATGGACGCTTTTCATGACGCACACAGCGATCATAGCGAGCAAACGTGGAATGACTGTTTACACACTAAAAACTACCTAGTCTGCAAGATGACATTTTGACGTTTTTTTTAACATAATACCCCTGCCGTTGTGTTTGGGGGCCTGTGCCCATTGAGACATTCGTTAAGGACGCCAAGACGCATAATACTTGACAAATTCAGCGAAAATAACTGAAAACACTTTTTCCCGTAGATGTGTTGCTGGGTTCTTTAAAAAGGACACTAATAAGCACCTTTTTCAAAATATGTAAAATAAGATGAACGAATAAAGAAAGCTGATTTCGCATGTGCCACGTATTTGCCCTGATTCTGTCACTTATGAAGATTATTATGAAAGGAATGTAATTGTTGTTTTTATGGGTTGGTTCAAAAATAAAAAATCATCAAATCTGCTGTCGGCAAGTTTGTCCTTGTTCTGTGACCCCTGACGAAGGTGTTTATCAGAGAAATAATGGAAAACCTCCGTTTTTCGCAGTGTCTAGAACATCTTTATACATAAGCGGTTGGTGGTCTAAGAAGCAATAAATTATTAAAATGCCCACGCAATTGATTCAAAACAAACCTGTTTTTCAGTGGACGCATTTGTTCAGCACTAGTTGGTAAAAAAATGTGTTATTTTTTTTTTCTTTAAACATCACTTTAGATTCTATTATTGGTTAGTTGATACAAGATTTACTCTAGTAATAGCAGAATACTTCAATGTAGCAGATTTTATAGCATCCTAAAAATTTTATGATAGAAATGATTTTTAAGGAATGGATTTTGTGTTCTTTCTTTTAGTTCCTTTTTTACGTTTTAATACACGATTTTACTCACATTATCAATCTACAACGTGGAGTTGTGAAACGTTAGACTTTAAAATATAATTAATAACTGCTCCTACAAAAATATAATTACATAATTTACTTATACAAAAGCATTTAGGTTGAGGCCTGATTATAGGCTAATTTTCAAAAACTACATAGGAAAGTTAACGTCCATCTCTCTATAAGCATTTCAGCTTGCAAGTCGTCTTAGAAAACTCATCATTCTCTGCCGCCATATTTGCTGCGGTATTCTTAGTAGGTTCTTTTGACAAATACTTTGTTTTGTTTAGGAGAATATTGTCAGAAACGATTTTGGGAACATTCGCTCCCTTTTCCGTGTATCTCTGGAGGTACTGGAAGCGTCAAAACTCTTCAAATGCATTTTCTAAAATATATAAAAAATTGTATATGCATAAAAATGCATATATAATATGCAATTTTGCCACCATTCAACCGACCCGTATCTCTTGCCGTTTCGGAGATCACAATGTTGAAAATATGACAAATCTGTTTTTAAAATCATTCTAGAATAAACTAGATATATATCCTTCTTAATAATCTATAACTATGCTATCTCAAGTGTTGCTTTAAACTATTGCAAATTATTACTTAAAAAAGCATATCAATGTTTGCGTGAATGTTTCAAAAAAGCAATCCTAGTAATTTTCTATATCCAAATGATTTGTCGAGTCATCGTGAAAGATTCTATACAGGGTGTTTTCGAAGTTGAGTCATTTATTTTAACTGCTTGTAGGACTCAGTCAATCACCTATATAAAAGTTGCATAATAAAAGAAATAGTAAAGGATTAAAAATTTAAAAAAATAAGGTTATTAGATAGGATTTTTTGTTTACTACTCTTATCGTTAATCTTAGAATTTGCGAACTTTTTGTGTAATTGTATGGTTTTCAGTACGAGTCTTTGGTTCGATCAGCTGTATGTCTTTTAATAGAGGGTATACTTTCATTTGTCTGATTATTTTGTGCGAAAAAATGACCCATGTTTACGAAAACAATGAAGTAGTGGACATCATACTAACATAAGGAGAGTGCCAACAAAATGCAGCCGCAGCATGTAGGTTGTATGCGAAAAGTTTTCCTTTAAGAAATCATTTGGCCCCACGGATGTTTGTAAATTTAATTATTAGACTTCGTGGCACAAGATATTTGAGACAGTAATGAGAAGGTCACGCTGAAAGACTTGCTCAACCTGAAATGTTGAAATTGGGAAGACGTTTCAGGAATGGTAGAAGACGACCCAACAATGAGAACTAAAGCCATAGCACCTCAAGTTGAAGTTGCTCATAGTAAAGTGTGGAAGACAATACGACAAGAACAGTATTATCCTTATTATCAACGGGTACAAGCGTTACAACCTGAAGATCATCCTAGAAGCGTTGTATATTGAAGTGAAGATTTTGCGAAATTAATTTTGTTTACAGACGAGGCCACATTTACACGAAATGGAGTGCACAATTTCCACAACAATCATGTTTCGACAGTAGAAAATCCGCATGCTGTAAAAAGAACTCATTTTCAACATAGATTTCACCATTAGATGTTTGGGCTGGCGTGGTAAATGGCATGCTTATTGAACCCTACTTTTTTCCACATCGACTGAAATTTATTTAGATTTTCTTATACACAATCTGCCACAATTATTAGAAGATGTTCCTATAAATGTGAGACAGAATATGTGGTTCCACATGATGGGGCTCCACCACATTTTAAACGAGAATTCCATGAACATCTAAATAATGAGTTTCCAAAAAGATGGACAATTTTGAACAGTTTTTTTTAAACGGTATCCATTTAACTTGATAATGATTTTGTTTTAAATAATTTTCATTAATTTAAACTAACTCCAAGGTGTTTTTGGTATGTCAACTTATTTTGACGAATTCTAAAAGCTGTTAAAATAAATGACTCAAAATTGAGAACACCCTGAATAAATGACATGCAAATAGAAAGAAAGATAAACATTTTAATATGATTTGTGAAACTTCCACCAAAAATTTTTGAGCGAGGTACGCCCTTGATGGAATGACTTTTTCAGTGTTCGTTTTAGCCAAATTTTGGACAGATACTTTTAAAACCGCCGGTTTCACTGCGCTATCCTGTTTCCGAAAAGTATTCTGAGTGCGAATTATAAATAAGGTATTCAAAGTCGATGAATGTTTAGTATATGTTAAAAGAGTTTATGATTATTTTCCATTATTCTTAAAGGTTTTTAAATAGTAGTTCCTTTGTTATTGATAATGAAACGCTTACCTGCAGGGCTTTTCCATAGGGGTAGAATGCTCTTAGGAACAAGGTTATCAAAACGATCAGTAATGAATCTTTTTTGGACCGCCTTCCACTCAACTCGTTTAGCAAGAAGCAGATCGGTGCGGTTTCTTGTGTGAGCCAGAGTATTCATTTCCCTTTGTTTGATGTACTTTTTCAGGATGTAAGCTATGGGGCGTATCAGCCATTTGGTTTTTCCATTTTGAGTTATATTATGCTTCAAGGTTAGCATTTTACGAGAATTTAAGTTTTCGATGATTTGAAGTGTAACGTGATGTTATTTTTTGGTTGGGGTCATTAGTGTCTAGTTGTGTCAACGTCAGAAAATTTCATGGATGCAACGTATGCTAAGTGCGTGTCACAGTTACTAGGACTTGCTCCAAAGTGAAATCTTCATATAAGCTTATGACGATATTTTAATTTTCCAGTCAATAGGTGCGCAATTTTAGTGAATATTACATAATTTTGCGCACATAAACGATATTTTTAGATCGTAGTACTATTTTTTTTTAATCTTTAGATTTTCCATAAGTTTGTATGTACTAACTTTTGCATAATGAAGTTTATACCTATCTTCAATCGTTGTGAAGCTATTTGAGTTTATAATAAAATTCTACAAATTGTGTTAATAAGGGAATATATCGTAAAAATAATAATCAATATAGTATATAGTATACTTTAAAATTAAAAACAAGTCTCCGAGTATTGAAAAAATAAAAAACAACTTACAGTTTACCCGCACATTGAAGTTAAAGCAAAAATCAATTTCCTATAAACAAGTAGGTCAATGTGGTAATAAATCCTAAACGAGGGTGGTGTCCAGTTCGGTCCATGCAATAATAAAGATTTTGTTTGAATCTACTCCTCGCATGTTCAAGCATATCTTCAGTTATTCGTCGCTGCGTAATTCACTGATGAAGATCTTGAATAGAATCTGCACCATCTTGTTGGAAATTAATGTAATTTTCATTATAATTAACGTCATTTTCTATTATTTCGGTAATTCGTGGCTCTATTGTATTTTCTAACATGTCCAAGTACGTCTCGCCCGTCAAGTTTCCGGGAATAAAGGTCCTACAATATGATTTCCGAAAATGCCAGCCCACGCATTTATTTTTTCACAAGTGGATTCGAGTCACTCCAATATCTACAATTATATCTATTTACAGCCCATGTAAATAGATCGTACATTCATCCGAGAAACAAATATTAAATAACAGATTTGCATTGTTGATTAAACGTTGGGACATTAATTCGCAAAACTCCAACCTTATATCAAAATCGTCTTCGTTAAGCTCATGGACAAGTTTTATCTTGTACGAGTGAAATTTATTGTCTTTCAAAATTCTTTATACTGTTGAGCGTGAAATCCTGAAGAAGTAGATAGTCCACGAGTTCCTTGGGTGTTTTCAAGTGTCTACGTGTCCCAAAACTGCTATTTCTGCGGCTTCGTTTCTAACTGGTTGATTTCCTCGATGGTGATTACTGCGAATATAATACACAGATCCAGTTTCTTCAAATTTTCTTAGCCACATGTCGTTAATATTTTTATCTGAATGTAACGCATTAAACAACCGGGCAGTAGCTTGAAATGCTCCCATTTTGGTAATACAGTTTTGTTATTTCTATCCTTTTTCTTGTTCAATATTTATCATAACTAGGTAGGTAACTTAATAATTTGAAATGAAAGAAAGTTTTTCTATGACATACGATGACACTGACTGATGCTAAATGTTCTTGCTGGTATCCATGATTATTATTTTTTGCCTTGCATTCCATTATTATCAGTATTATAGAATTTTATTATAAACTCAAATAGCTTCACAACTATTGAAGACAGATATAAACTTTATTAGACAAAAGTTACTAAAAACTTCATAGAAAATCTAAAAATTAAAAAATCCAAAGTTTAACGCAATATCTTATTTAGAAATCAAAATTGACGTGTCCGACCGTTTTTCCCAAAATATATCAGCAGAGTCACAAATAGGGGTGCGACATTTTCGTTGGGCCACCCCGTATGAATTCCGAGGCAATGGACTTGACATTTTTTTTATTTGCAGGCGTCGACTATCGACGGGCGTCGTAAAGGGGCATGTCTCTTCTGCCAGGAGTACTTCATGGAACTGTACTTACTGGCCGAGCTGAAGACCATCAGCCTTAAAGTGACCACAGTGGACATGCAAAAACCACCTCCCGATTTTCGTACCAATTTTGAAGCAACCCCACCGCCTATTTTAATCGACCGCGGCATGGCCATTTTGGAAAACGAGAAGATCGAACGACACATCATGAAAAATGTCCCTGGAGGACATAACCTATTCGTACAGGTGAGACTATACATATTATACAGGGTGTAAAGTTAGTAGTGGATCAACGAAAGTCAGTGATAGAGGGCCTCAAAACCTATCGAATGAACCCCTATATGTGTGGTCCGAAATTTTATAGTTCGGGAGATGTTTGCAATTTTGTGAAATTTCGAAAAAAAAAGGAATTACAAGTAAACCATTAGGTTTAGGGCTGTGTTTTTTTTTCTGAGATGAGCTAAATGGTTAGTTTTAGCAATGGTTATCTCACTTTTTAACAGAGTTTATTAGAAATCAACACATAAATTCTTAAATTGATTTTTTGTGAAAAATCTCTTCCATACCTCAACTTCGGACGGTGGTAAAAAAATTGAGGTTGTATTTCATTATTAATTTTATTGTAAAAACTATTTCAATCCATTTAGAATATTTCAGCTTGCTACGATGAGTGTTATCATGTCACATTCGTTGTTGTGATGCGACAAACGTAAGAAACGCTATAGAATCCTTACCACCTACAAGTACAGAACCTATTGTGTTTAGCCGCTCTTTACGGCAATTTACTGACAAATGTGGAAGATAATTTAAGACAACTAACTTTTAAAGAACATGTTCGAAATGGCCTCCATTATTTTCTAAACACAAACGACACTTTCTAATAAAATTGTCCTTTAGTCTTTGAAATGAATCTGCGTTTTCCATAATTTTTATTTTTGCTTCATCAATTTTCTGGCGCAGTTGGTTGACATTTGTATATTCAGATGTACAGATCATCCCCTTATAAAACCACCATATAAAAAAATCCAGAGGATTTAAATCGGGTGACCTTGGAGGCGATCGTATGTGTCCACCTCTACCTTTTCAACGCGGATCTAGCATTTATGTCAGGAGGGGTCACAGGATTCATGGTGGCAGTAGCCCTACCTTACTCATACGGTGCCTGAATGTGATCTAAACACAACATAAAATCTAATTTAAAATGAAAATTTTTATTGTTGAATCACAAAATTAATTCCTATTTTTTGTCTTCTTGAAAACCAATTTATGATGGCTTCTTCCGTATCGACATGTACGTATAAAAGCGCCAGACCAGTTAGGCGATCAACTGTCACAGGGGCTCGCAACCACTTGATATTATCGAAATCAAACACGAATAAATTTCTTGAAAACAACCGCTGGTAGTATTACATTAATGTAGATGGAACAGTCAACACTATCGAGGCACACAGTATCATTTTAAAGTTATGATTATACAAAGGTGTAAAAAGATTATCAATATGTATTGCGTTTATGACTACTCCGTCTCTGACGAAGTAAGTGAGTTGATAGTTCTCGTTGGATTATGTCGACGGCTAAGCTTTATCACAGCGTAACTCAAAACTGACAAATTTTCAAAAGAGCAAAAAAATGGCTGATCTTCCCTATCGAATGACACGCATATCGATGGCGCCATCTTTTGAGTTACATGTTAAAACCTATTTCCAACGACGTCTCCTTCAGGGGCCTGTTTCACCGGAATCAAAAGGTATTTCGCAAATTTGTCTCGGCACGAGTATTACGTGAAAGTGACATTTTCTCAGTTTTTTTGACCTTTCGTAGGTTTTTTGTGTCATAACGTAGGTTTTTCTACTTACTTAAACTTAGCACAAGCTGTTGTGTACTTGTTGTGAACTCGTTTTGTAGCTGTACGTGTTACTTAAACGTTAGGGAGCTGAGACCACTGCGAGCAAACATGGAATGAACTATTTGTACACTAAAAACTGCCTAGTAGCCGGTTTTTTTTGCGTTTTTCAGTTTCTTTACATAATACCCCTGCCGGAGCAACACGTACAGCTACAAAACGAGTTCACAACAAGTGTAGAATAGCTTGTGCTAAGTTAACATCGTGTAGAAAAACTCACGTTATGTCACAAAAAACCTACAAAACGACAAAAAAAAAACGATAAAATGTCACTTTTCAAAATATGTGATACCGGTGCAGGGCGGATGAAGACATGAACATAAAATTTTGTATAGTTGTAGTCACCATTCTTGGCGGTTACGTCATTAACGCCATATGGAATAAGTAAACAGATCGATTCTCCGTACCATCTGCTACTCTCTACAGTACGCATGAAGTGGATAACAGGGGACCGTTGTTTTCATTCTCTTCCTGGAAATACTCTAATAAATTTAGCACGAGTTGTCGGCCTTCTCCGTTGATCGTATTTCCGGGCATTGTATAATTTTATATTGAAGATTGATAACAGGACAACCCGAATTGCACGCTGATTTCAAGTAAGTTGTCACTCTGACAAATGTGATTCAAGGGCACTCATACGTAACAACAAAGTTTTCGAGACGGAGACACACAACTAAAAAACGAATGTCTTTGAGCTTACCGAATAAACGTTAACACACAGGGGTAGGTTGCATGTGTATGTATGAGAGAGATGTATGTATGAAAGTAATTCCTGTAGTTTTACTTTGAACCGCCAAAAACCGTGAAAAGAACTATGCATATGGTACAAATAACCGTACCAACATATTTAAAAAATCGTCTTTCAAACAACACCAAATACGTTGAGGCTAGTGAAGTCGCAACGTTATTAGAACTATATTCATCTGATATCCCCAATGAGTGCCTTCAGTGGTGAGAAGTTTTACAACACTCTGTAGCTGTGTACCATGACCTATGTGCATGGGAACACATTAAGTTATTTTTTGACGTATTTTCTGCTCTAAAAATATGACGAAATCACCTTTTATAAGCTGCAAATCGTTCAAAAGCCTCCAATTGTGTAAGAGATATAAATAGTAATTGTGATTGACGCTAATCTAAAGATTTACTATTATCATAAATCGCATTGTCGAATTACCGACAAAACATTTGTTCCAATTGCCTGAGATAATGTGATTTGGAATAATAATATCTAATATCTATAAATAGATTCGGAGAAAAAATAATTTCTGGAAAATTTAACTAGACCTCCACATACAGGGTGAATTTTTATGTGGGCTCAGACGAGCTGACCCAAACATAGATTTTTAAAATGGAGAGCAAAATTTCTCATTAGATACATTTTATGACCCTATATTTTCTTACAATCTACTTACTTTTTCAGTTTTTTGATATTCTATACTGGGCGGTCAAGAAAGTAAAATGAAGTATTTTTCAATATCTTCAAATGGAACACCCTGTATATCTGGACGGATGGATTTTGACATTTGATGTGTCCTTAGTTTTTGTCATGATAACATAATTAAAGATTCGTTATTCTCAGTTACTGCAATTGATCTTCTGGTATTTTTAAAAAATGTACTTGTATTTTCTTGTAGTAATCACGAATAGCACCAGTTGTGAAAATAATAATTCGCTATCTATAATTTTATCTCCGTAATGATGATGATATATTTATACAGTTTTGAACAACTTTAATAAGGAGGCATTCATAAGTAACAAAATCATTTTACATTTTTCGTAACTATACGTAATTGACTTTATTTGGCGAGCTTCCAATTTTAAAAGATGCGATATGGAATATTCGATATTGCATGGTTCAGAGTTAAATTCGATGTTTTGAAATGGTTGCAGTTTAAAATAACGTAAGTGAGTATCGAAACCGGTAATTGGAGGTGCAAAAATGTATTTATAGTACACAGCAAACTTTCTTTCTTGTCGACAATGATTAATATGTCTAGGAATGTATATTCAAAAGAAGAAAATGACATTCATATATCTTATTAGACGTAATTTACTTAGTATAAAAGGAAAGTACCTGCTCAAAATCGAAACGCATATATAATTTAAAACATTGAATAATTGTGTACGATATTTTGCCTATGATATAATAAAGGATGTCTCAACAAGAGCGCCGGATTTGAATTTTCCGCCATTTTTCTGTACAAATGGTGTGGTGCTTACTTGATGGCAGCTGTCATGTCCAGACCACGCGATTAGACGTCAAGGAGAAGTATTCCAAAGAGCAACGTTTAATTATTGTGAAAACTCACTACAAACATGGAGAAAATTACGCGGAAACAGTTCACAAATTACGTACAATTTTCGGTCGCAATAATGCGCCAAATGAGTCTACAGTTCGCCGTTTAATTACAAAATTTGAGACAAAATTCACGTTGCTGAATGTGAAGATCACTGTTCGTCGCCGTTCTGGTCGGTCCCTCGAAAATATAGTCGCAGTGCGGGAAAGTGTGGCCGAGAATCCAGGCACTTCCATTCGGCATCGTGACCAAAACTTGAACCTTACTAGGCCCACTCTGTAACGAACTTTGACAAAAGATCTGTACTTGCATACGTACAAGGTTCAACTGACGCAAGAACTCAAGCCAACGGATCATGCGCAGCGCCGTGAATTCGTTGACTGGGCGCTGGAGCACCATCAAATTGATGCGGATTTCTCGAAGAAAATCATTTTCTCTGATGAGGTACACTTTCAACTGAACCGGTATGTCATTTAGCAGAACTGCCGAATTTGTTGGATCGAATTGCTGTGGCGGATTGTTTTCTTCCAATAAGACGGTGCCCTGCCACACAGCACGCGAAACAAATGTGTTACTGCGGAGCAAGTTTCCAGAACGTGACATCTCTCGGTTTGGCGATCAAAATTGGCCACCAAGATCGTGCGATCTAACTCCAATGGACTTCTTCCTCTGGGGCTATGTGAAGGAAAAGGTGTATGCGAAGAAGCCACAAACAGTTGAAAGCCTTAAAGAAAAGATACGGTGCGTTATCGACGAAATAGATCCATAGTTGTGCGAAAACGTTATCCAGAATTTTAAGGAAAGACTGACCCTGTGCCAGAGGTTTCGTGGTGGTCATTTACCGGATATCCTATTGCATGTTTAATCGCAACTATTCCTATTCATGTTGAGATATAAATACTCGCTTAATTCGAAAAGAATTTTTTTTCTTGAAAATCAAATCCGGCGCTCTTATTGAGCCCGTTATTATATCGTGCGCGAGTTAATCCTGCTATATTTTTGACAAATGAAACGATTTGGCTAGTAGTAAAAGATGTTTTTTA